TAAAATATGGTCATTAATAATAATTTAAATGGATGAAAAATGATAACTGAATATTTAAAATGTGTCATATTCAATTCAGGAGCTCTGGTGGCATAATGCCTAAGGCATTTGACTGCTAACCAGAAGGCTGGCAGTTCAAACCCACCAGCCACTCCTCGGAAGGAAGATTGGGCAATCTACTTCTGTAGTGATACCTCCTTGGAAATCCAAGGAGGGGTCGCTATGACTTGGATCTGACTTGGTGGCAGTGAGTTTGTTTGTTTGTTTGTTTTTGGATAATGTTTAAGGAACTCTGGTAGTGCTGTGGTTAGGCACTTCCCTGCTAACCAAAAGGTCGACAGTTTGAACCCACCAGTTGTTCTGTGGGAGAAGGATGTGACAGCTTGCCTGCATAATGATTTATAGTCTTGGAAACCCTATGGCTCAATTCTGCTCTGTCCTGTAGGGCCACTATGAGTTGGAAGGTGACCCAACAGCAGAGGGTTTTGGTTTATAATGTTTTTTGTTGTTGTCATGTCGATTCAGACTTACAGCAACTCCATGTGTTATATAGAACTACTCCCAGTTGAGCACAAAACACTGGCACTACCTAGGGACCTCATTTCTGTAATAGTACCTACCTTATTACTTACCAAGGAACTCTGGTGATGCAATAGCTAAGGCATTTGGCTACTGACCAAAAGGTCATCAGTTCAAACCCAACAGCTGCTCCACAGGAGAAAGATGAGGTAGTCCACTCTGTAAAGATTTATGAAATTGGCTTGATGGCAGTAGCTTTGGTTTGGTTTTTATTACTGACCTACCTTACCTTCTTAGAACAGCTCCTGGCACAATATAATAATATAGCATTATATCAGTCAGTGTGTGGGAGCTCTGGTAGCATAGTGCCTAAAGCACTTGACTGCTAACCAGAAGGCTGGCGGTTCAAATCCATCAGCCACTCCTTGGAAGAAAGGTTGGGCAGTCTACTTCCATAGTGATACTGCCTTGGAAACCCAAGGAAGAGCTGCTATGCGTCAGGTCAGACTCAATGGCATACAACAACAAGAACAACATCAGTGTATTAACTATTATTGTTCTTACTAGAGAGGGATAATATACAAATAGCAATTTGAATTTATCAATTTGAAGAGTGGTTTGACAAATTAAATTTTCATTTCTGAAAATCTGTCTTCTTTATCGGTCAGATCTGAGATCTGCTACTCTTTGTAAAGGACAGTGTTTTATGAAACTGCAGGGGATTGAAAGAATAAGCTTCAAATTAACTCAGATTATATGCTAATTTTATTGAAGAATAATGACCTTTCAGTTACCTCAGAATTAGTAGGTTTTTCTTTTCACAGTATTTGAATAGACAAATGAGTGTCCACTTTATTATACATGTTTAAACAAACTTGCCCAAATTCCTTTGGAGAAATATTTTAAAAATCATGTTAAAATTATAATTTATTTTTATGCTATATGCTTTAATACAATAAACCCTGGTATCACAGTGGTTAAAGCACTCAGTGGCTAATCAAATGTCAGTGATTTGAACGCACCAACTTGTTCCATGGGAGAAAGATGTAGCTATCTGCTTCCATAAAGATCTACAGCCTTGGAAACCCTATGGGGCAGTTGTGCTTTGTCCTGTAGGATTGCTCTGAGTTGGAATTGACTTGACGGCAGTGGAGATGGGTATGCTTATATATAAAACTCTTTAACTGTGACACATAATCAGAATGTCATAAAAAAATGTCTTATGACTAAACTGTTCCGTAACTGAAATTAGAGGATTGTAACTGGTCCAAATAACGTTCATGTAGTTACAGCTGTTATTGGTGGAAATGTACTCAAAGAGACACAGGAATAAAAATAAGCTTGCCTTAATGTGAACTAAAAATAATTTCTGAATGTACTTAAATTTTTAAAAATCTTTTTCCTTTGAAACTACTGTTGTGTACATTGTCCTGTGGTAGTTGAATTGCAGTCAGTGGCTTACAAAGAAGAAAAGAATCTTAGACTGATAACTCTATTACTCTTAACATATTAACATTATGATTAATTTTAGTATATTAATAAAGTCTCATATTGCAGGTTTTTGAGAAATTTACAAAGGAATCTACATCATTATTAGATGAACTTGCCTTGATTAACAATGGAAGTGAGAAAGGAAATCAGCAAGAGAAGGAAAGGTAAATGGTTAGCGTCTTACAGTTACATCTTTGCAAAGCTGTGATTAATCTGAGAAAAGATACTGTTAGTACTGAGAAGATATATTGTCAATCTATGATGAAAAGAACTAGGGTAAGCAAGTCTCCCTTCAGTCAAAATTGACATACAAAAGTTTAATTAAATTTATTTATTTTGTGAGAATTTGCTTTACATGTAGAACTTATTTACTGATTTTAATTGACGTTTCTTTCACAAAATGCTTTTTTTTGATGAATAATAATACATTCACCTTTTTTTGACACTGAGCTGAACATGTTTAGAACATGTTTTCAAAGTGAAATAATTTTCTACTGTTTTAGAGTTCTGCTTTGCTTAGTAAAAAATATAAAAAAAGCTTGCAGCTTGAAATAAAATGGTTATAACTTTATTTAAATGTATGAGTAATTAAATGTCTAGTTTGTAGAACATTCTCTATCATTGCAAAATAAGTAATATCCATGAGTTGAACTTGGGGAGTTTAGTGTCTTATGACACTGTATTACCAGGTTTGGGAGCTCTGGTAGCCTAGTGCCTAAGGCACTTGACTACTAACCAGAAGGCTGGCAGTTCAAACCCACCAGCCACTCCTCGGAAGGAAGACGGGGCAATCTATTTCCGTAGTGATACTGCCTGGGACACCCAAGGAGGGGTCACTATGAGTTGGGTCAGACTCGACAGCACATAACAACAACAACATTACCAGGTTTATCATGTTAACAGGTTTCTGTTGAACGTAACAACCTTGTCAATTTTCATTTTTCTGTTGGTAGGCTAAGTTCTTCTCCATTGGTTATTTATTCATTTATTTTGGAAGTAAATAAACTCTTTCTGGTCTCAATAATAAAGGGGTCACTGGAAGAATAATTTTTCATTGTTGTTGTTGTTGTTGTTATGTGCCGTCAAGTCAGCCCTGACTCATAGGAAATTTAAAAGAATCAACATCTTCCATTGTGTATTTTTCTTTATTCTGACATAGGAAACACAGTGGAACCTTGCTAAAATTCATCTTGTTATTTTAGAATTCAAATGTAGTCTTGTATCAATTAACTGAAGTAATAATGTGAAGGATGTGAGAAAGTCATAGGTTAACACCAAATTCTGGTTAAAACAAAATCATAATGGCAAGGAAGAAAAAAGGTTAAAGTAAATATAGTTAAAGTTACAACAAATATTTAGGAATGTTTCTATCATACAGATGCCCTATAAAAAATGTAAATGTAAAAATTATATATAAATGTGTGTATACATACATATGTGTGTGTGTGTGTGTATATAGATATCATACATATATGCAGTGGTTAAGACTTAAGAAAATACCTCACCAGTTAATGTAATAAAAATTAGCCAACCCTATTTGCTTTCTGAGTAGTCCAGCAGACTAAATTTGAAATTTCAACTACTGTATCAGAATATTTGCAGCTACCAGAGGTTGCTGTAGTAAGTAAACTTTGATCGGGGATGGCTAGTGCATTTTTAATGTCACATTTCTATGTTACTATATAGTTACAGATTTGGAAACATGTTGTTTTGTTGTTATGTGCCGTCGAGTCAAACCCGACTCATAGCGACCCCTCCTTGGGTTTCCGAGGCAGTATCACTACAGAAGTAGGATTGCCCAACCTTCCTTCCGAGGAGTGGCTGGTGAGTTTGAACTGCCAGCCGTCTGGTTAGCAGGCAAGTGTCTTAGCCATTATGCTACCAGAGCTCTCTTGGAAACATATATCCAGGAAATAAACAACGAAATGGATACCTTTGATATATTTGAAATAATACTATAAAAGGAATAAAGTTTTCCAAGTGATATACTTTATGATTTATCACATTAATATTCATCTGACTACTTATATTTAATTATCTCTAATCATCTTCCTTATACTTAAGAGAAATGGTCATGGCAGAATAGCATGCTTCAGATGTTTATATCTGTGTGCCCTTGATTAATATATGGAGCCCTGGTGGTCCAGTGTTAAAGTGCTCTGGCTGCTGACTAGAAGATCAGTGGCTTAAACCCACCAACCACTCTGCAGAAGAAAGATATGGCAGACTGCTTCTGAAGATTTATAGCCTTGGAAACAGGGTGTTTCTACTCTGTCCTATAAGGCGGCAGTGGGTTGAAATTGACTTAATGACAATGGATTTGGTTTGGTTGTTTTTTGTTTGTTTGTTTAATATATATTTATAAAAGACTTTTTAAAGCTGTATGGATAGAAATACAGCTTTTCAGAATTTTTCTTTTGATATTTGCCAGGTCTGTGGATTTAAACTTTCTTCCATCAGTTGATCCTGAAACAGTTCTACAGACAGGTAATATGAAAAAGCGTGTTTATTAGTGATAATCATAATACAATAAAA